AAGAGGTGGATTGATCCCAGGTTTAAGGACTTACTGGGTGAGGAGGTGGTGAAAGGTTAAAGTTGAGGGAGATAAAGATGCTTATGTGTAGGCACCCAAAATATGACAGGAGTAGTATTAGAGAAAGTTACAGTGAGTCAGGATCTAAAATCTAGACACAAGTTGGTGAAGAAGCAGAATTTATAGGTAAGTACAGTAAAAGAGTAATGAGTGTTATGGTTTTATAGCATAAGATTCAAAGTCTGTGGTTTTTAGGATAGAGTAAGGATGGTCTGAAATTGGCCAACACCTGTCTCCCATCTAGAGAAGAGGAATGCAGTTGTCCTCCACTTGAGAAGGCTGGCAAGGAGGAAAACTCCTCAGAGAACCAGATTTCTGTTAGAAGGCTATGGAAAAGGAAACATTATGAAGGCAAAGGAAATATTTCCAGAAGAGGTTGAAGATACAGAGGATTTTTCTGATGAATGACAGGACATAGTGAGATTTTAGGAAATGGAGAATGGTGAGAGATCAGTTTTTAAAAGATATTATAATAACCTATGTCAGAATTAGAATGTGGGTGATAGATTTAATTTGGGAGATGATTTTTTTTAAGGTGACTAATAAAAATAGGAACAAAGGCATAGTACAATTAATGCCAGTGGTCTCAAAGCAAATGGAGTCGTGGCCAGGCTAAGGTGTTGGAGGGGAGCAGGAGAAAAGATTTCTCCAGGATGACATGGAATCAGAGAGCTCCTATTTGACTTCTGCTAAAGCCAAAGTAGAGACTTGAAGGGCATGGTGTGGGACACGGAGAACTGTCTTGGTCTGACTTCAAGAGCTATAGAGATGGCTCTAGAATACTGCCCCCAAGAGATGCAGATGCATTTACAATTAGTCTACTACTCGAGAACATTAAGAAAACAACATGCTCGGGGCGCCTGGGTGGCTCAGTTGTTAAGCGTCTGCCTTCGGCTCGGGTCGTGATCCCAGGGTCCTGGGATTGAGCCCCGCATCTGCATCGGGCTCCCTGCTCCATGGGAGTACTGCTTCTCCCTCTCCCCCTGCTGTGTTCCCTCTCTCGCTGTGTCTCTCTCTGTCAAATAGATAAATGAAATCTTTAAGAAAAAAAAAAAAGAAGAAACAAGATGCTCATGTGATGCAAACTGGCTGACAGGATGGAGCACTAGGTTAGATGGCTAGGGGAGCCAGACCGTGGTGGGTGGGGGTGGGAAAGAGCAGTCCCATTCTCTTCCAAGCTTCACATTGATCTTTCCACCTACTTGCAATACAAAGAATAGCCACCTATATGTCTCACAGGCAAGTCAAACTCATCCTAAGATTGAACTTTCTAGAAACCTGCCTCTCCTGTGTTCTCTTTTAATTGGTGTCATCCCACCATTCATGTGGTTTCTCAGGTCACTTTTCTCTCATCCCCCTAATCCAGTCTATCTGTCACCTACCAAGTGCCCCTGGAAACCATCTCCTTTTTATGTCCCATGCAATTACCTTTTCCTTTTTTTTTTTGTGCCAAAGAGCTGGAGATGGAGAGATGATTAAAATCCCTGCACTGGGACCACATCGGGCTCCTTGCTCAGCCGGGAGCCTACTTCTCCCTCTGCCTGCTTGTGTGCTCTCTCTCTCTCGTTCTGACAAATAAATAAAATCTTTAAAAAAAAAAAAAAACAGGGGCGCCTGAGTGGCTCAGTCATTAAGCGTCTGCCTTCAGCTCAGGTCATGGTCCCAGGGTCCCGGGATCGAGCCCCACATCGGGCTCTCTGCTCAGCGGGAAGCCTGCTTCTCCCTCTGCCTACCGCTCCCCCTGCTTGTGTTCCCTCTCTCGCTGTCTCTCTCTCTGTCAAATAAATAATAAAAATTTAAAAAACAAAACAAAACAAAACCCTGCACTGTACTCAAAAGAATTCACAGTCTACTGGGAAAACCCACTGAATAAAAATGTGGTAAGTAGAACAATAATTTGTTCAAATATTTGAGTGCCATTCAAGTATTTATTGAGTGCTTACTAAATGCGGTTTGGAAACACAGTAGTAAGCAACAGTTACAACTCTCATGTTTATTATATTTTAGTGGGGAAGGCACATAATGAGTATGTAAAAACAATGTTAGTATTAAGAAAGTAGAGAAAGGTAAGTGTTGCTACTTTAGAGAGTTTTGTTTATTTTTAAGTAAACTCTACCTCCTATGTGGGGCTTGAACTCACAACCTGGAGATCAAGAATCACATGCTCTACAGACTGAGCCCGCCAGGCACCTCAAGTGTTGCCATTTTAGAAAGCAGGCTTAGAAAAGGCCTCCCAATGTGTGTATGTATGTAGAGGTGAGATTTTGAGCGGGAACTTGAAGTGAGAGCAGAAGCCATGCTAAGACTTGGAGAACAGCATTTTCTCTCAAAGCTCAAGGGCCTGAAGCAAGAACAGCAAGGTTAGAGTGCCTGGAGTTGAGGGAGGGAGATAGTAGGAGATAAGTCAAACTGATAAAGCAGAAGAGATAAGCAGAGGTCTGATATTTCTGGGCCCTGGCAAGGAATTTAGACTTTATTCTGAATGTGGTAGAAGCCAGTGGGAGGTTGAAGATACAGAAGGATAATGTTGAGAGACTCCCTTCAAAGGGATGAGGTAGGATTTGGAGCAGACTGTAAAAGGACTTATCCATTAGGCACTTTACTCCTTTCAATACTGCCCTATGATCTGCTTCCCTCCAGCCACCAGCCTCATTGTCTCCTCCCCTTTATTATTTTTTTTCTTTAAAGATTTTAAGTCATCTCTATACCCAATGTCGGGCTTGAATTTACAACCCCAAGATCAAGAGCTGCATGTTCTACTGACTGGGCCAGCCAAGCGCCCCTATCTTATTATTTTTTTAAAAGTTTATTTAAGTAATCTCTGCACTCAACGTGGGGCTTGAACTCAGGATCCCCAAAATCAAGAGCCACAGTCTCCTTCAACTGAGCCAGCCAGGCACCCTTCTCTCCTTCCCTTTAAAGTCCTACTTCTTGAGAGAATTGCTTACATATACCATATCTTTTAAAAAAAAAAAAAAAAAAACTCATTCTGGGGGCGCCTGGGTGGCTCAGTTGGTTAAGTGTCTGCCTTCAGCTCAGGTCACGATCTCAGTGTCCTGGGATGGAGGCCCGGCATCCAACTCCCCTCTCAGCAGGGCGTCTGCTTCTCCCTTTCCCTCTGCCCCTCCCCTCTACTCATGCCCTCTAACAGATAAATGAAATCTTTAAAAAAAAAAAAAAAGCAACTTGGGGCGTCTGGGTGGCTCAGTCCTTGGCGTCTGCCTTTGGTTCAGGTCATGATCTCAGGGCCTGGGATTGAGCCCCACATCGAGTTCCCTGCTCAGCTGGAAGCCTGCTTCTCCCTCTCCCACTCCCCTTGCTTGTGTTCCCCCTCTCACTGTGTCTCTGTCAAATAAAATCTTTAAAAAAATAAGAAATAGGGGCGCCTGGGTGGCTCAGTCGTTAAGCGTCTGCTTTGGCTCAGGTCATGATCCCAGGGTTCTGGGATCGAGCCCTGCATCGGACTCCCTGCTCCGCGGGAGGACTGCTTCTCCCTCTCCCATTCCCCCTGCTTGTGTTCCCTCTCTCGCTGTGTCTCTCTGTCAAATAAATAAATTCTTTAAAAAAAATAAAACTTCCTATTCCATTTTAAATTTTGCTCACTCCCCTGCACAGAAACTGCTCTTGCCAATATTACCAAAGATTTTTGAGTTACTAAATCCAAGAATCACTTTTTAGTCCTCATTTCAACTAGCCTTCGCAGTAGCATTAGACCATGACATCATTCTGTGCTGGCTGGCTTCCCGTTACTCAGTTGCTCCTCCGTTCCTCTGCCAGTTTTTCTCTACCTGGCCTTAAATGCTCACATTCCTCAAGTCTTGGACCTAGAACATATTCCTGTATTTCTTTATGTTAGGGGTTGGCACACCACTGTATGCTGATTGGGCCCATGCACCAAGAATGGTTATGTTTTTAAATGTGTGGGAAAAATCAAAAGCATAATATTTCATGAGAGGTGAATCCCAGTACCCTAAGCTTTATTGGAACACTGCCACATATTCCTTAACTATTGTCTAGGGCTGCTTTCACACTACAACAGCAAAGTTGAGTAGTTGTGACAGACTCCATATCCCACAAAGCCTAAAACAGATACTTAGTACACTTTACAAGGAAAATGTGCTTTATGCTCTGTCCCTAGGTTCCGTTCATTCCGGGGACTTTAATTACCGTTTGTATACGGCCAATTCCCAAAGTAACATCTTCTGTCCAAGCTCTTCTATAAGGATAAACAGACATGAACATCCAGCAGCCTGTCATTCCAAATGATCAAATGAGGAATTAGGAATCCTTGACACACCTCCCATTTCCTAACCCCCACGTCCAATCTATCATCAAACCCTTCAAAACAAAACCCAAGTCCACCACTCGTCTCCATCCCTACTGTCTTCCACCCTTTCCCAACGCAGCCGCGCCCAGCTCTAAAGCGAGGCTTTTTCAAAACGTAAAGCAAGCAGGCGACTCCCCCCTCGGGTGTGCCCTAAAGCCCTCAACCTCTAGCACAGCCATTCCCACCGCCCTCCCTGGGATTCGGAGCGCGGACAGCCCTCTCGCGGCCGGAGGCTCGGAAAAACATAAGTTTCGTCGCGCTCCGACTCCAGGCTCCTCTCCGCGGCGCCCGGAAAACACGTAAAGGGGCGGGACAGCGTTTTACAAACCGGACCGTGAGGCTTTGCGTTTTCTCTTTCGCAGCCAGCGCCGAGGGAGATGGGTGAGTGTCGCTCTGCGTTAGGACCGGGGAGGGGGGATGAGCTCGATCCAGTGCCATCCTGCCTCGCAGCCAAGTCAGGAGTGCCGGCGCCCCGACCCCTGGCACGGAGCAGCCACGAGGAGGGTGGTGCTCGGGTTCTGGCCGCCGAGGCTCGCTCCGGTGGCTGCGGGGGCTGGGTGCTGCGGGCGCCGCCAACATGGCTGCCGCGGGAAGGTGCCTGGGCTGGGCCGCATGTGGAGGATGACACCTTGGTAATGCTGCAAACTGCCGAGTGCGCAGTGGGGAAGCCAACCTTGGAGAGCTGAGCGTGCGGCCCGCCCGTTGCGGGGGTCTGGGGCTCGCGAGGTGCCTGCCCGAGCCCCCGTGGCTAAAGCTTTCGCGCCCTGCTTCCACATGCAGGCATCTCTCGGGACAACTGGCACAAGCGCCGCAAGACCGGGGGCAAGAGAAAGCCCTACCACAAGAAGCGGAAGTATGAGCTGGGACGCCCCGCTGCCAACACTAAGGTGCGTGCGGGGCCCTCGTCTCCAGCGTGGTCTGGCCGCTGCGGGTGGTGGTGTAGGGCTCTGATTCGTCCAGGGGCCTGGGCGGCCTCCTCACCTTTACGCGTTGGTTAAGACTAAAGAGGTTGAATGGAGACAGATGTTACGTATTAGGACTTCAAGGGCGCCTGGAGGGAGTGGGCTCCTCGGATGATAGTCAGAAACCCGGTATTTTTTGTTGTTGCATAGAGACTTCATTTTCAGTGTTTGGAATCAGATTTTTCCTCTTGGAGGTAACTGGAGTGATGAAAAAGTATCCTTAGGGGTGGTTGTGGCCGTCTTGGCCACCTGTGTGCCACTTGCCAATGCTAGGACTTGTCATAGTTACACTGACTGTGTTGCCTCCGTCCAGCCTAGGTTCCCTACCTTCTCTTGTCTTGCTCTCCTGGATAACCTAGTTCCTGTCTGTCTTTTCCAGATTGGCCCCCGCCGCATACACACAGTCCGAGTCCGGGGAGGCAATAAGAAGTACCGTGCCTTGAGGCTAGACGTGGGGAACTTCTCCTGGGGCTCTGAGTGTGAGTGCGGCCCTCCAGGAGTGGGTGGGAACTCCACACCAAAAATTTTCTAAGCTTCAGTAAGTGCTTTTAACAGGAAGTCCATGGGCTCATCAAGATACTGAAGTTTCTCTTTGAAAGCTGTTAAGGTTGTGGTAGCTGGAGAATTCTCTCCATTCTGTTTTGTCTCATCTCCTATAGCTTCAGGGATTGGGACTGAATCTAGACACTGTGTGGTTGCCAGTTAATCTCTGGAAAGGTGGCTTTGTGGAAGATGAGCTGACACCCCATAGCTGGGTAACAGACTAGAGTTCCCTTGCTGTTTCTTAGGCACTTTGGGGGGAAGATGTGGTGGTAGGGGACAACAAGGCCATTTGGCTTCTGGTCTGTAAGACTTGATTCTGAAATTCTCCCGTGAGCAGGTTGTACGCGAAAAACAAGGATTATTGATGTTGTCTACAACGCATCCAACAACGAACTGGTCCGCACCAAGACCCTGGTGAAGAACTGTATTGTGCTCATTGACAGCACACCGTACCGACAGTGGTACGAGTCCCACTATGCACTGCCCCTGGGCCGCAAGAAGGGGGCCAAGCTGGTGCGTGTTTTGGGGGAGCCAACTTCCCTGTGGGGGTGAGGGGAGATCAGCCTCATTCCAGCCTTCTTGTGATGAAAACTGTGTCCAGTTCTGCTACTGAAGGGAAAGAGATGAAAGCCTTTAGTGCTGAGGAAGGCAGCAGGGATTGGGATGTACAGGGCCCAAGCCTGTGGGGACATTCCTTCCCTGAGCCAGGGCCTGGGGAGCCCCAGCTAACCCATCTATCTCCTTTATTCAGACGCCCGAGGAGGAAGAGATTTTAAACAAAAAACGATCAAAGAAAATTCAGAAGAAATATGATGAAAGGAAAAAGAATGCCAAAATCAGCAGTCTTCTGGAGGAGCAATTCCAGCAGGGCAAGCTTCTTGGTAAGATGGCTGTTGCATTGGGGGGTTGGGTCACAAGATACAGTGTGCCCTCTGCATTTTATTCTTGCCCCTTGTCCTTTTAACTGCCTGCCAGCTGTGTGGTAGCGGCTTCACTAGGAGAGTCGATGACCGCATACAAGCACAACTCAGAACATGTGGTCATCCCATTAGCCTGAAGCTGAAATGGGAAATAGTGGGCAGGAGTCCATAGGCCTCAGCTTGGCCTCTGCCTCTAACTTCCAGAAGTATTTTGAGAAGTCTCTGTGTGGGCTGAGGGGGCTGTCTCGGTGATGAAAACTTTGTCCAGTTCTGCTACTGACTTAGAGTGACGATAAAGTGTATCTGAGGAGACACTGGGCTTCAAGCCTGCCCCCAGGGTACCTGAACCAACATGGACTCCTTAAGGAGACACCTAGCTTTGGGTAGGGCCCCACTCTTATTTTGCTAATGAATGCATACTATCTTGCAGCGTGCATCGCTTCAAGACCAGGCCAGTGTGGCCGAGCAGATGGCTACGTGCTAGAGGGCAAGGAACTAGAGTTCTATCTGAGGAAAATCAAAGCCCGGAAAGGCAAATAAATCTTCCTCCTATCTTCGGTCATGTAATAAAGGTGTTTATTGTCCTGTCCTGTGTTCATGTGTGAATATCCAGTTGCTCGGCACGCTCTCGCTGAAGGCCAGTCCTAGATGTGGGCTGTGCCTTTATATAGCTGAGGGAACATTTCTCACCCCAAAGGCTAGTGTTCAGTGGGAACCAGGGACATGGCATGCAGGGCAAGCATAGACTGTATGAGGGAGTTATCCCAGCACTGGGCCCCCAATATTACTGGGGTATTGACTGGAACCTGAAGCCATGCTGCCTCTGTGAACTTGGCTCTTTGAGAGATCCTGTACCCTTTTCCTGTGTGAACTTTGGTTTTAAGGTTTTAGCTTGAAGTTTTCAGCCTGGGTTCATGGATCGCCTAGAAACCCTGAAATTGGGTTCCAAATTTTTTTGGTATAGTTGATAGCAAGTTGTACACATTGACGTATCCTGTCAGCTTTTGGATGTCCTTTTGAAGTTAATTTTCTCTTCAACCCTAATCCCTTCCCCCCTCACTACTCAAGTGTGCGAGATAACCAGTGATTTCTGCATTGCTAAATCTGCAAGGGTCAGGTCTTTGTCTTCAGCTTGGCTACATTGTCTGCTCTTGGTATGAAATGTAGTTTGTGCTGCATTTTTTTAACTTTAACCCAAACCTGCTTGACATCTGCACTTGGATATCATAATTGGACTCTCAAAGGTGAACATGTGAAAAACATAACATTACTCAGCTTTCCCTTTTCAAATAGTTTCTCAGCTATTTGATTATAGCAAATTGTTGCCTTTATACAGCTGCTTAAATCAAAATCTTGGGTCATTTTGCCCTTACACTCTAGCATCTAAAGTCCCCAGATCTTGTTGGTTCAACCTTTAACACCACCTCTACCTCCTGACCACTCTTTTGCACATAGCACTGAAGGCTTCTGTTGTCCCCAACAGTCCTAGCAATAGTGATCAATGGGGTTTTGACGAGACGGCTTCCCATCTCAGAAGCCTTACCAAACACCCAAACACTATGGAACTCAACGTGACCTGGTCCCTTTTTCTACAGTGCTAATCATCCTGGCCTTACTGAGCACATGTTCGCTTGCTAGTTCATTTGTTGGAAACATTTTCCTTCACATACCCACATGGCTTACTCTTCAGGTCTTAGATCTTAGTGAGTTCCTCCCTGATAATTTTAAATTATAGTCCCTTCTGTGCTGTTAATCTTTTGCCCCAGCTTTTTCTCCTTATCCCTTAGTTGGGCATAAGTTTTGCTCATTTTCCTTTTTGTCCAGTTAGAATAGAACTCCAGGGGAACAGGTATGTTTCCTGCTCTGTTTCCAGTACCTGGAAGTGCATGGCAACATACCAAGCACTCAAATGTGCTAAATTAATTTTAAAAAGAAAAAAAACTTAAGATTTTATCCAAGTTAAAGTTGGAAAGTACAAGCATAACTTAAGAGCCAAAGAAATGAAGATCCAGTTGGTTCATTAGCTTAGCTAAATGGCAGAGTTGTGTGAATAGACAATAGGGAAAGATGAACTAGGAGATGACCGCCCCCCTTTTGAGTACAAAAACTTCAGGACATACAAAAAGCAACCCAGCCTTCTAAAACCTTATTATTGGCTCTGGGAGGCCTGTACCGTACTTTTCCTACCATCCAGTGGTTCTCTTACTGCAGCACCATAATTTTAGGTGTTTACAGTATGGGTCAGGAGTAACAAAGCCACACTAGACACTTCGCCTTTATTTCCTAATTTGAGCTCTACAAGATTCTATCTCCCCTTCACGTCTTCCTCTAATCTGTGACTAGAACCAGTGTGTACCAGTGTGTTTAGAGTCTTGGATTCATACACTGTTCATTCCCGAAGCCTTCAGCTGACCATTCTTGCCCTGAAGCAAGGCTAACTCCCGTTAACGCTATGAAAAACCTCAAACACCTACATGAATGGCTTTCTTGGGGTGCTTTTGTCTCTAAAGACTTTGACATCTAGGCTTAGGTATCCTGTAACCCATGGTTGCCCAGCAGGAAAGTAGCAAAGCCAGCCTCAGATGTCAGAGGCTGCACTCAACCTCGACTACACCCTCGTTTCTTCCCTCTGAGTCCTGTCATCCGTCCCATCCTTTGATCTTAAGATTCCGTTTTGGCAGTCACCAATTTCCTTAGTGGAGGCTGAACTTGGAGAGTGGAGCTCAGTTCAGTCAGCACGATCTATGCTCCATGAGGCTGGTTCCCCCCCAACACTGCAGGCCTACCACAGAGCTGAACTCGCAGCTTTCACCCCATAAATCGTGCTTTCTCCTGTTCAGCTGGTGGGAGCAGAGAAGGGTGAGGCACTCCAGAGTCCAAACATCCACCCAAGGTCTAGGCTGGGTGGTGTACAACTGCCTTCACATCTGAGTTCGATCAGCCTCCAGGACAGATTCCCAAGCTTTTACTGTATTATCTTTATCCCACTTCACAGCATGCCAATTTAAACAACTGTAATTGCACAAGTAATAAACGATTATACTCTCATTGTAAATAAAAAGTTGAATATTACAGGTAAAGCAAAAGTTCCCCAGCACACACTCTGATCCCTTTTCAGAGTAAGATTATCAGGATAAGGTATATCCTCAAGGTATATCTTTTTATAAAGGACTCAAATTGTGATGCCTGGACCAGCAGCAGCACCATCACCTGGGAACTTCCTAAAAATGCAAATTCCTGAGTACCATCCCAGATCTAATGAATCAGAAGCGCTGGGAGTGACACTCGCAATTATTCAGAACAGGTCCTTTAGTGCCACTGATGCTCCCGCAGGTTTGAGAACGTGCCCAGCAACCTATTGCTCAGGAAATTAACAACGCATCTGGGTTCTTGTCCTCTGGGCTCCGCCCAGGTATCCCAGCCTCACTTTCCCCAAGCAAGCCATCCTACCTTCTCCCGCCAAAATGGGCACATTCCCAGCCCCGACGCTGGCCCCGCCATCTTCCCCGTTCAAGGTCCGTCCCTAAATTCTCCGGCTCAGGACACAGCAAGCGCTCTAATAGCGCCGGAGGTCAGCAGGGGGTTGGGAAAGTGAGCCGAGGCGGGCAGGACGGCCTGAGCCCGGCAGTCTCTGATCAGGGCTCCCGGGCCTCGTCCTCTGACCCCACCGACGCCTCCTCGATGCGGTCCGCGGCCTCGGGGTCGCCGCTCTCCTCCGCTCGGAAGCGCAGCACATGCGGGGTCCGGGGGGCTCCTCGGGCGCGGCCGAAGGTCCTGAGGCTGATGGCCGGGGAGGGTGCTCCCGCGGCCAGGAAGCGGCCGAGCAGCGGGGTCTGCGCGGCGGGCAGCGGCCGAGCGGGCCCTGGGGACGCCTCCACCTGCACGCTCTGCTCGGGGTCGTCGCTCACGCTGCGGGCGGGAGGGCGGGCTGAGCGAGCCTGGCGCGGGGCCACCCCAGGGCTGGCTTTCCCGAGAGGGCGGGGAGCAGAGGCGACCGAGTCATTGGCGCCCCCAGAGGGGTGGTGAGGACCTGGGGTCAAGCCCTGCCTCCACCAGCGCAGGCCGCTCACCGAAGGTTGAAGGTGGAGCCCAGGAAGGAAGGCCGCAGAGCGTCGGCGGCCGTGGCCACCGTGTAGGGCGGCTGCGCGGAGTCTTCATCCCAGTACAGGTCCTTCTCGGTGGGAGGCAGGTTCTGGTACATGTCGTCCACGGATAACAGAGACACCTGGGGCAGGCAGCAAGCCACAGGATCCCCCTGTCCTCTCCACAGCCAGGCCCAGCGCTGGCAAGGAGGAAAGCACAAGGCACTGCCCCCAGACCCCTGCCCACCTGCAAGTTGCGGTCTATGAGCTTGTTGGTCTCAAAGTCGTCATCATCCTCACCAAAGGGGTTGATAATCTGTTCGGCCACCTACAGGTTGTAAGAGTGTTTTCTGGGCTCAGAGCCCCATTCTCTGTCCCCAAAGGTGAGGTGGGCCCTGGGCCCACATCTCTACCGAGCAAGCTGGTATGACCGGCCTATGTGCCCACCTTGAGCCAGCCAGCATAGAAGAAGAACTGCAGCAGAGTAGTGAGAGGCACATACATGTCCAGGTCCCCCAGGGTGGACGCCGCCTCCTGGCCCGGCTCTAAAGGCTCCCGAGGTCTGGCCCGCCCTGCCTCGGGCTCCACGAACTGGCGGCCAACCAGGGAGAGGGCAAAGAAGGAATATACCGCTATGGTCACCACCTGGAGAAGGAAGCCTGGCTGAGTAAGACAGGGAGAAATGCCCTCCCTGACCCCGAGGGCCAGTGAGGGAATCTGACAAGGAAGTAAAACGTGTGGCAGCATCAGAGGGGATGGGGGCGTCTCAGGGGAGTCCGGGGATGCTTTGAGGATGAGCCCTTGGTTGTTCAGTGTCTCTCTGGACTGCACTGCCCCAGGGTAGGTACCATCTCTAATTCTCCGTGTCACATGCAGCACAGGACATGCAGTAGGCAGTGGGACGGGAGAGGGGAGAGGCAGTTACTTGGGTGTAGACGAGAGGGATGCTGATCCAATCATAGTGGAATAGCATGCTGCACTTGGCCCGGTACTTGTTCAGCTCCTGGGGGAAAAGCAGGAAGAGGATGTCAGTGGAGGAGAGGAGGGAAGAATGGGGAAAGAACAGGGGAGCCCAACACAAACTCGGCCTAGAGGCCCATCCCGCTGTCTGGGGTGTTAACGTGAGAGGGTGGCGTGACGGGAAGCAGCCTAGCAAAGTAGCTTCAAGCACAGACTGTGGAACCAGCCTGAGTCCCAGCTCCCCTGGCTAGCTGTGTGACTTGGGCAAGTTTCTTTTCCACTCTGTGCCTCAGGTTTTTGCCTGTGAAAGAGGGATGGTAATGATGTCCCAAGGGCTGTTGTGCGGGCCAAATGAGTTAATGTATGGACAGTGCTTCCAGCTGTGTGTTGTACACAGTTGTTGGCACCATCTAAGTGCTAAGTACTAAAATTATTATTCCAGTTTGCAGAGCCAGGGAGGTCAGACAGGCCTGGTCTGGAGCCGACTCACTTCCAGGAGCAGACAGAGAGCAATGTCATCACGGATCCGCCCATCCCTCCGGGCCTGGGCTGCCAGGTTGGTAAACCAGACGCAGGGGATCCAGTACTTGTTGAAATCGGATTTCAGGCTCTCGAACTTTTTCCTCTCTTCCTGGGACATGAAACCTGAGGAGATACAGTGAGTGGGGGCGCAGACACCTCCCCTGCCGCTAGGACGTGCCCCCCGGGGGTCAGACCTCCCCTCCCAGGAGGCCCACGCTGGGGTCCTGGCCCCGGGGGCCGCCCCCGGGCTCCCCAGCGTGGCGCCTGCATTGGCCTGGCCGAGCCCAGGGGCGCCTGTCCGCACCTGCGTCCACCACGTGCTCCATGGTGGGGAAGCGCTTGAGCACGCGGGTGCTGACCGAGCGCAGCACCAGCACGGACGCCAGGTTGGCATAGCGGATGAGGGTGCGGCGCAGCAGGCGGCCACGCTGGTCTACGCCGTGCACGCTGGCCGAGATGACGCACATCAGCTGGTCTGGCAGCGGGATGCTTGTATACTGGGCCCACCAGCGGTTCACCACCAGGGTCACGTAGAAACCTGATCGGCCGCCATGGAAGCAGAGACGGGAAGGGAAGATGGGGGGCCTGGGAGTCAGCATGCCCTGCCTGCCAGCCGGAGCACCCGGTCCAGGCCAGGCTGAACCAAAGCAGGGAGAAGGACACCTTTGGCTTCCGTGCCCTGCCTTGCTGTCAGGGGGAACGCCTCTTCCTAAAGCCTCTGCCTTGCTAAGCCAGGCTTGGAGGATGGAGGAGTGCAAACCTCCTCCTGCAGAGAAGTGGTCAAGTAATGGCTAATTCTGAGCCCTGCTTCCCAGGAAGGTGGAAGGGGGGTGTCACCTCTCTCCAGCTCCTCTCCAGGACACAGAGTGGGATTTTGAAGCCAGCAGGTGTCTTGTCCCTTGGTGGAGTGAGGGTCCAACAAGTGACAGGCAGGGTCTAGCCGTCTGGAAATCCTGGACCCCGGACGCAAGTCCCATGCCTGCTGAGCCTGCTCTGGTTGACCTGTAGGCTGTGCTGCTGGGGTAACTTTGACCCTCGGAGCTATCACCTCAACCCAAAGGTCAGGGAAGATGGTCAGAAGGATACCAGGGAGAATTAGAGGGAGCCTTACCCAGTACAAAGGATAAGGGGATGAGATCTGCAGAACGATTACAGTATCGGGCCACCTGAGCATACACATGCCTCTGCTCCTGGGTCAGCAGGAGCCTGGGGAAGGTCAGTTGTAAGCCTGGGTTAGAGGGAAGCGGGCAGCCGAGCCCGCCGCCCCAGGCCAGCCCTGAGACCTCACCCTCACCGGTAGATGATGCTGAGCAGAGCATACAGGGCAACGAAGAGGAGGAATTCTTTGTAGAGGAGCTTGTAGATGCTTCCCCTCCAGCGGAGAAGCAAGCTGGAGAAGCCTCCAAAGCGAGCCTCTGCCACTTTGAGGGTGTATGAAACCGTCATGGTGCTGGGGTCCTGGGCGGGAGGTCACATGAGCTGCCCCCAGAGCTGTCCCTCTTTCCCAGCAAATCTTCTCCGTAGCTTGCCTTCTCACCAAGCCTAGTTCCCAGGCACCCTCCCTTCAACTCTGGTCACGCACACCCAGCCTTCACCCTGTGTCCGTAGACAAGGGGAAGAAGCTTCAGAGCAGACAAAGCACCCCCCCACCCCCTCCAGAACTCAGTGGTACATGGGTCAAGCCAGGATGGGATGGGCCTAGGGGAGCTGAGATCTATCAGCTCTCATGCAAGAGCCTTCCCTGAGATCCTCTTCCACTCGCAGGGCCAGAAGGAACCAGATCACAACTCCTGAGGACAGAAGATCCAACTCTAGCCCAAACCCACAACTATGCTACCTGCTGGGGTCTTGCTGACAGCTGCTCTCCCAAGGCCCCCGGTACTGCCACCTCCCAGTGACGCCGGCCTACCTGTTCTGGGCAGTGGCCTGTGCTGAGGAAGCAGAACTGGGCTAGCCCACACACTGCATGCACTTAAATATCTGCTGGGCCCATAAAGCTGAGCTGGCCCGAGGTTATCATTGATGGATTGAGGCTGTCACCCAGCTTCCCCTGGTCCTGGGAACTAGATGTGTCTCCCTACCCCTGCAGGGCTGGGCTGGTCTTTGGCTGGCAGAAGTGCCATCTACACTGACCCTACAACTCACACAGATGACATCATGTCCTTGAAACCAGGTTGACCGGGATAAGTGTCCCACACTCCAGGTGAGAAGACAGACGCATGATGATAAATTGTTATAATCCTAACAGCTACTGATCACAGAGCACTGACCGAGGACACCGTGCCAAAGGCACTGCTATGGAATCCTCATCTCGACCCCATGGGGCAGGAAACATCCCCATTTACAGATGAGGCTCCAAGAGGTAAATGACCTTGTTCAAGGTCATCGGAGGCAGGATTCAAAGCCTGAGTTGATGGACTTGGTGGAGCTTGTAAATAAAACAGCCAGTTATTTTACCAGCAAAATGGGCTTATTCAAAAACAGAGGAATTGCAATTCAGAATCTGCGGATATGCAAGCTACAGCAAACCCTAGGCAAGTCCAGAGAACAAAGGAGGGGAATGTTATTATATAGAGAAAAAAAAGGGAAGCTGAGTGGGGGCTACTTTGAGCAAAAGACCACTGGAGGTTGGTGATGTTTTCTCATTGGCTGAGTTGTGACAACTTCTCATTGGCTGGACTCTTGCTCTACAAGGAAAAAGTCTTTCTCCCTCTTGCAGGGGGTAGTAACGTAGGTCCTTTCCAGTTGGAAAATGCAAGGTATGCTTCTTCCTGTTGAGGTCTGCAACTGAGGACAAATTGGTAGTGTGTGAGAACTCCCCCCATTCTGGCGACCGGACTCTATTTTAAATGAGGTTTCCTTTGTTCAGTTTCACAACTCCAAAGGCTGGAAGTGGCCCAACTGGGGCTAAACAAGGGCTTGAGCCCTGGGACCAGGGTCCTGTGCACTGGCCACACTGCTAGGCTTCTGGTCCAGGCTCTGGGGGGCTTGGCTTGACCATTCCCCATCCCTATTCCACAGGGCTGACAAGGCCACAGGTCTGGGACTCAGGCCTAGGGATGCAGACCTCCCTCAGCCCTGTGTCCAGCATCTTGACTCCTAAGGGTATCTAGCATCCTGAGTGGCCATTTCTGCTTCTAGGCCTCAGTTTCTTCCTCTGTGAAACAGAAGAAATAATATTTGAAGCACCAGCTCAATTACCTACCCAGTGCTGAGATCACCCACAAAACCCGAGGAGTGGTGGTCCCACTTCTGACCTGTTTTGGGAAGCTCCTTACCCCCACGCTGTGAGCTGATTCTCACCTGCAAGCGTTTCCTAAAGACAGGAAGCATGGAGAGGTGGTTAGGAGAAAAGCTTGGGAGTCAGACAAACCTGGGTTTGAATTCTAGCTCTCTGTAGCCTTGTACAAGTTACCTCATCTCTCTGAACCTCAGTTTCCTCCTCTACAAAACAAGATCAATAACCCCTTCCACACAGGGCAATTGGGATTATTCAAAGAAACAGTGTCCAGAGCCTGGAGCACTGCAGGCATTTAGCCTGGGCTGCTATTACCATGAAGAGCCAAGTCTGTTCCCTTTAGTTTCCACCTACTAGTCCTCTGTTGTGTCCCAGAACCAGGCAGTCCTTCGCAGGTGAAGAGGCAGAGACCTTTCCCCTGAAGCCTTTCCGGCCTGTCCCCAAGCCAAACAGTGCCAGGTCCTGGCTTTTCAGTAGGGTACTCAGGGCCTCCTGAGATGCTCCCACCGCTGCTCCCATCACCAGCAAGGTCCAGCTCAGAGCGTCCTCAGGGAAGCTTTCCATGATCTTCCCCCTGCTCCCTCCCTGAAGCCCTCCAGGTTTCCTCTCTTACAGCAGCAAATCGCACTGGGCAGTGACCTGTCTGCGGGGCTCATCTCCCTTCCAGCCCGTGCGGCTCTTGAGGACAGGATTCCATGTGACTCATCTCAGTAGAGCTGGGGAGGACTTGAGCCCAGGCAAGCTTTGCTTTGCTTTTCCTTTCTTTTCTTTCTTTTTAGTTTTTTCCCTTTTCACCTGAAAGACATCTGGCCCTCCTTTCCCTTTTTTTCGGAGAAAGCTCCTGGATGAACAAGGTCTGGAAAACTACTCATGGCCAGAAGAGTCATCATGTTCTCTTTCCGGGCCCCAGGTGAGCCAGGTGAGATGTCAATATGAGGAAAGGAATGTGTGTGTGTGTGCGTGCACGTGCATGTGTCTCAGAGGTCTGGAAGACCCAGGACCTCTCTCCTGGGGAGGGTGAGATACAGCTCTGGGGCCTCAGCCATCATGGCCATGCAACCCATCCCAAGCTCTGATCTGTGGCTTTTCTAGAGCATTCTGGGCTGCATACCACTTAAAGAGTCTTGTACCTGGGGGACCAGGCCTGGGATTGGAGGAGCTCAGGCCCTGAGATCCTGGGAGCTTCCTTGAGGACAACCCAGGCTACTGCATTTCAATCGTCGCCCCCCATCTGCTTCTGTGGCCCTCACCCTCCTGCCTGTTACCAACACTCTGGATCACCAGACTGCAAGTTTCCCACAGAGCCATGGATAAAGGTACAGGACTCGAAGCCTCACTCCAGGAAGGGGAGTCCGCAGTCCCCACCCAGCCCTTCCCTCCTGAGTCACCTTATCTCCCTTCCCAGCTGCTGACAGGTCCCCTTGGTTTATGGTCCAGGAGAGGGAACCACTCCACCTGTAAATCATTTACTCCACCCTTTATCTGTCCTCCAGTTCTTGCCTCTCACTCTCTTCTGGTCCTAACCACCCATGCCCCTCTCCCCTCCTCACAGCCCGGAGTTGGCTATACGGCTTGGCAGTTTACAGCATGGAGTCTGGGAGCCAGACTGCCCAGATTTTCAAATCTGAACACTGTGAATTACCTTTGTGACCTTGGGCAAAACGTTAAACATTTCTTTTTTTTTTTTTTAAGATTTTATTTATTTGACAGAGAGACAGCAAGAGAGGGAACACAAGCAGGGGGAGTGGGAGAGGGAGAAGCAGGCTTCCCGTTGAGCAGGGAGCCCGATGTGGGGCTCGATCCCAGGACCCTGGGACCACGACCCGAGCCGAAGGCAGGTGCCTAACGACTGAGCCACCCAGGCACCCCAAAACGTTAAACATTTCTGTGTTTAATTTCCCCATAGGGAAATAGGATAATACCTTTCTCATAGAGTTGTTGTGAATAATGAATGAATTAATATTTATAAAGTGCTCAGAATAGCACATGGTAAGTATGAAACGCTACTGTAGCTATAGCATCTCTCTGGTTTGGCTTTAGAACTTCTGCCTCTGCACCCACTAAAGACACCTGAGATCTTATTGCTGATTCCAACGGCCCCCTCCCAAGTTCTACCCTTACTTGGCAGCCCTCACTTTTTTTTTTTTAATTTCAAATAGGCTCCCCATCCAATGTGGGTCTCAAACTCACAACCCTGAGATTAAGAGTCACATGCTGTACTGACTGAGGCAGCCAGGCGCCCCTTGGCAGCTCTCATTCTTCAAAGACTCCCTTGACCTCAATGACCTGACACTGTCAAGAGATTCTGATTCTGAAAGGTGCCTGAGTGGCTCAGTGGGTTAAGCATCTGACTCTTTTTTTTTTTTTTTTTAAAGATTTTATTTATTTCAGAGGGGGAGGGGCAGAGGGAGAGGGAGAGAGAGAATCTCCAGCAGACTCCC